CAGTGTTTTTTCTATACAATATTTATTCATTCATTTTATGTCATTTCATATGTGTGTGTGTGTATATATATATATATATATATATATATACACACACACACACAATTTTGGAGTGTCAATTTTAACTGTCATTATTGAAAATTTGCATGAAGTTTGCATAACCCTTATCTGTTCTTTGTTCAATATTACTGAGAACATTTTGGCCATTTTAAAATCTCCATTACAAACGCAAATCTTAATAATGTAAACACACCAGCCTGTAAGAATCAAACAAAATCACACATCAACAGTGAGTAAAGCTGATATATACTCTGATAGACTTAGCTGTATAAGGTGGTTCTTCCATATTAAATTGCGGGAATTTAATACTTACAGGCTTCATTTTAATATTTTTAATTAAATTTTTCAGTTCTTTAAAATCTTAGAGAAATAAATTCCAATCTTTGCTCTATAATTCAGTATAGTGAGAGAATTGGTTAAAGGTCAGACTACTTTTATATATCTTTGTGTCTGAATGTGTATGATGTGTGGCTGCGTGTGTATGACCGACCTCAGCTGGTTGAATGATGAAATGAAAAGTGAATGAAAGTTGTCAGTGAAAAATAATAGCTGCCTCTAAGATCCTGAAACCTGCCGAGAGACAGCGAGAGTCACCTCATGCAGCATCAGAGAAAAGGCCTTGAGAGAAGATTATGTCCATTCTTCTCTCGTTTTTACTCGTCTATATGCTGCTGATTGCTTTTTGTGTGTGGCTTATTGGTGTTTGCGTGGCTTTGGCTCCTTTTGTCCCTGTGGATGTATTTATACTTGTGCCACTGTGTTTGTGTGACAGGAATTCTCATTCTGTGTGTGTGTGTGTTCAGGGCCCCTCGATTTAAGGGTTACCAGCAACAGGACAGTCAGGAATTGCTGCACTACCTCCTGGACTCCATGAGAGTGGAGGAGACAAAGGTGAGTGTGATTTATTTATTTTTTATAGTAATTTTTTATTTAAAGTGTAACTTTGGCCCTGTTTTCATCTGGGATCGAGATCTGTCTCATGTGATTCGATCGCAAATTGTCAGATGAGACCACCTTTTAGACCTGGCAGTAATGTGCATCTTATCTTCTCTAACTACTTTTAATTTTAAGGGGAAGGTCCAAAAAATCGTTGCCTTTATGACCATATTCTGATTAATTAATAATAAAATATTAAAATCAAATGATAAAAATAGAAAGACTAAAATAAGTAATAATTATAATTAATATAATATAATTTAAAAAATTATGAATAATTTAAAAAATGATTAATATATATATTTATTGCTACATATTAAATTCTTGCTCAATTTAGGTTTTTTAAAGGTGGTATTTAGCTGATCTAAATATAAAATCATTGGTTGATTGACAGATGAGTGTGCAGTCCCTAGCTGCTTTTTATTTTTTATTTTTAGAATGAGCATTTACACCTGAAATATAGTGTGGTAGAGGTTTACACCCTGTTTATCTGTTTACCCTTTGTCCTGTTTCCATTGGAGTGGCCAGAAACTGTTAATACCAGGTCTACAGGGGGTCTTGTTTTCAGCCTTACGCCCTTAGTCCTCCTCAGTATGTGTATATAAACTATACCAGTCACTGCAAAGGGCTGCATTTGCAAACTGACGGTGGGACATTGACCTCTCTTGGGCAGATGCATAGAAGTTTGATAGGGTGGTTCTTATAGAATAATACAGCTTGTGGGTCTCTTAATGCGGACGTGCCAGGGACCAAGACCAACGCAACCCCACCAGTGGCCCTAACTGGCCTAAGAAAGCGGGTGCAGCATCAGACGATGAGCCCCAGGGCCAGCCAGGCCCATTCAGACTTGTGAATGTGGACAGTTGTGCCACTTAGGAACCTTACAAGTGGCGCGACTGGCCTCATTGTGCATCCTGGGAAACAGTCAGCTGCTTGTTGAAGCTTTGTGATGGAGGACCATCCCCACCTCCCTCCCTTCTTCCAAACTTAGGGGAGGCAGAGGGGGAGAACACAGGAAACAATCTGGTTTAAATGTTCCTCAATATCGTGTACTTAAGTAAATTTACGGATGGCATGTACTTTGATATATGCGCATAGTTTTTAAGACATAACAAATAAAAAATATTTATACACTACCATACAAAGGTTTGGATTCAGTATGATTTTTTTAAATGAAAACAATTAATACCGACAGAAAATATATTTATAATGTGTAAGATTTATCTTACATATAAATTCTATTAAAAAAATTCTAAAAAATCACAATTTCTGCCAAAAAATTAAAAATCACAACTGATAAGAATAATAAATATTTGAGCACCAAATCAGCAAATTAGAATGATTTCTGAGGGATCATGTGACACTATAAAGACCAGAGAAATGGCTGCTGAAAATTAAGCTTTGCATTCACAGTAATAAATTACATTTTAAAATATATTAACATAGAAAACAGCTATTTTAAATTATAATACTATTCATAATGTTAAAGGGGTCATATGATGTTGCTAAAAAGAACATTATTTTGTGTATTTGGTGTGATGAAATGTGTTTATGTGGTTTAAGGTTCAAAAAACACATTATTGTCCACATACTGTACATTATTGTTTCTCCTCTATGCCCCGCCTTTCTGAAACGCGTAGATTTTTACAAACACAGCGTCACACACGGCGGGCTTGAGTGAGCGGCGGCGGGCGGGCTAGAGTGTATAATGTTGTCATAATGTTGATGTTTTTATTTTATTTTTGATTAAATAAAAGCAGCTTTGGAGAGCATAAGAGACTTAAAAACATAAACGCATAACAAAAATAAATATTTATATTTGAATTTGTATACATTTCAAAAGTGAAATATACACGCACGTTTTTGAGCCAAAGACATTATCTGCTCAACTTTAATAATAGTTGAGGTTTCAATCATTATGATTTAGATTGTTTGTTATATATATACAGTGGGTACGGAAAGTATTCAGACCCCCTTAGAAAAATTCATTATCAAAGATTATAAGGGGACTGATGTGATCACAAAATTATTAGAGTTAACAGCAGCTTTCTAGAGGGCTCAGGCGAAACACAAAGTGGGCTGATTCTGGAGACAGCTACAGTATGGTACAGTGGCCTAGAAAATAACATTTAATCCACAAACATTTGTATGAATGTAATAAAATTAGACAAAATATTAAACCAAGTAAAATTGGTAAAAAGGGGTTGAGCTTTTGTTTTCAGAAATACTTTGTCCATTTATCTTCATTAACACTGCTTTGTGTCAATTTGAATTTAATTACTATGTCTTTATGCAAAATGTCTTTTTTTGTATAAATGATAAATTATGTAATAAATTATAATTATAAATATATAGAATTATTTATTTCCAAGCTGTTTACCTTCACAGACATAACCCACTGTTTTTGTAACTTGTGTGTTTTTAAGTAAACTTGTGTGTGAATGAGAACTTAGTTTAGTACTCACATGCTGTGACAGCCGCTTTCTGTACGTGTGCTTCGGATGTGTGCTCTCAGAAAACCCTATATCAGAAGTTTTAACTCATATGGTTTAAAACGCATAATTCCAGCGCGATAAACATGATATTCAGAACCAAAACAGATGTTTTTTAGCAGGTAGGAGCTGTAATGGCGCAGCTCTATTCTGGAAAAGGGGGCGGGGAGCAGCAGCTTATTTGCATTTAAAGAGACATGCTCTAATACAGCGCGTTTCTGCATCCACTCAAAATAGGCATTTTCAAAATGATATAATAAATGATCTGTGGGGTATTTTGAGCTAAAACTTCAGTTACATTCTGGGGACCCCTGAGACGTATATTACATATTGTAAAAAGGGGCATAATATGTCACCTTAAGTCTTTGTTTTCCACCAAGAGACCATTTTTTCCTGTCTTCTTCATGAATGAAAGTGAACGTTTAAAGTGAATTTGGCAGAGTTAGTACATAATAATAAAGGCGTTAAATTATTATAATTGTTTAAAAAATGTATGTTTTTTGTTTTTTTGTTTTT